TGCTAGTATAAAATTTTGAGAAGACCCACATAAACTAGGACCCTGTACATATATGCTAGTATAAAATTTTGAAAAGACCCACATAAATTAGGACCCTATACATATATGCTAGTATAAAATGTAGAAAAGACCCACATAAACTAGGACCCTGTACATAAATGCTAGTATAAAATTTTGAGAAGACCCACATAAACTAGGACCCTGTACATATATGCTAGTATAAAATTTTGAAAAGACCCACATAAGCTGGGACTCAACTTTACGAAGACCTGGATATGCTAGACCTACATAGGAAACGGCGCAGCGCCGCAAGGACCTAGGCTACCGAGAAGACCGTTTAGCAGTCGGCCAGCGCGTTCGTTTCTCGCTGGCTATCAGGAAGCGTCGCAATTTCTAAGCGAAGAGGGTGGGGATGATGCGCTAACGAATCGGCATTGAGGGAGGCTCTTGATTAGCATTCTCGCGGCGCTGCCGGAGAGCGTCAGACGGTCCCAGGATAAGACACGTACCCGTGGAGGCCGGCTGAATAGGATTAATCTCGCAGTAGGGCGCCGTCGGAGGATCGTGGACTCGGCCGCGTTTCCGTGGCTCCCGGTTCGTGCAGTTCGCGCAGATTCCTGATCCTGGCTTCTCCTCGGAGCACACGCGGAAACAGCACTCGTCCTCTCCGCTGTTGTGCAACGCTCGCGCCGCTTGCTCGCCGGTCTCCTCGATGTTCGGATCTGAAACGAGTGCGTTTGCCAAAACAGCTCCTCTCTTTCTCTCTAATTCGTGGCCTGATGTCAGTGTTTCCATGACAACTCAGTCCAGGCTTGGCATCATTCGTGCTTTTTTTTGTTAATTTTGTCAGAATTGCCTGCCGCGCTGGGCATACGGGACTGTCCGTTTTAATTGGACGAAAACTTGCTGATTTGAAGCGACCGATTCGCAGGAATGACGTTTAACACGTTACGGGGGGGATGTCGGTCGCATATGGCCGACACAAATGTTCGAGAGAATTTTCAAAATGCATTTCTATCATATCCGGTCGAAACGAATTTTACTAGGATGGTCGAAATGCGAAAGAGTTCAAATACCGTCCTCTGTGATGCATTTCGCCTTTCCGGTTTCGGTTTCAAAAAGTAATTAAATTGCCTTCATTCAGTTGGAATTTTTGGCATTGACTTTCGGCACTTATCGCGTTAATAAGCGAACTGGATAGCATTTCATTTTCGTTCATTCGTTTCGGTTTTCTTTGGGAACACGAGAGGGTGCCAAAGAATGTTTCTACCCTCGTTCATCAATCCTCCGGTGCATCGAGTCTGCAGCAGCCACAACATTAGCATTCTCTTAACATTCCTGAATGAATTCGTGTCATGTTTTCAGCGGTTTCGTGCAATGCAGCAATTTTATCGTGTATAGGAGGATCCGAGCTCGTTGGAAGGAATCATAATGGAAATTGGGTACTCCGAGCCCACGCACCGTAGGGTTAAACGCGGCGTTTAGGGTAATATTTTCTTCCTGATGGTTTTTGATCGATGGGGGGAGGAATTGGCACGATTGAATTGGCGGTGTTACCTCTGCAAAGAAAGGTGGGTTCGCCGGCGTATTGCGTGGGGTACGCGGGGGCACGATCACCGGGAAGCAAGTAAGGACAACGTTGCTCCACAGATTGGCAGAAGGACCTGCAGGGCCTGAGTCTGCTTCCGGTCCTGCTCGTTCCCAAGGTGTCCGAGTCCTGCGGTCCCCCATGAGCAAAGTAAGGCACCAGGGAGCTGCACACCCATTTTCTATACGCCTCCTGCAAACAGACAAGACGATTTCTCAGACATGACAAATATTTCGTTATCTACAGCATCCACGACTTAAAAAATATTCTATAAAATCACTGGCGCACATTTCGTTTCAAAGATGTGTCTTGGATATTTATGCAGAATAACAATAGCCTGCACGAATTACAGCAAAGATTAAGCAAACGCACTTAAAGTTGTCAGAGTACAAAGCTCCTTATCCTTTCATTCGAGAAGAACGAGTCACTTAATTAAGTTAATTCGACGTTTCCCTATTCCATTCGCTCGATTAATCCATGGTAGCATAAACACCTTTGATCAAATTGTCTATTAGAAGTTAGCGCGAAACCGTAGCCCTAAGGACGATCTAACTCCTTGTAATCGGCGTTTTACTCGCGGTGGCGTCAGGAAACCGCGATCGAAAGAGGTAGAGGAAAAGAGACAGGGAGAGAGAGAGAGAGAGAGAAAGAGAGGGAAAGAGAGAGGGAGAGAGAGATAGAGGGAGGGAAAGAGAGAGAGGGAGAGAAAGAGAGGCAAAGAGAGGGGGGAGAGAGAGAGAGAGAGAGAGAGAGAGAGAGGGAGCGTCGCGATCACGGCCGTTTCGTCCTTACTTCGTTTTCGGAGGTCTATTTGGGGTGATCGGGTTGGAGGAGGCAATAAGGCGTGTCAGTAGCTGACCTACATATCCTATAAATGTTACCTTGCCCGCAATCGCGCGCAACCTCCAGGACCGCGTTATAATTACGCTCCGGTTGTAGGAGGGACGTTTTATCCACCGAGCCGAGTTATCCTCCAGCACCTCTCTCTCTCTCTCTCTCTCTCTCTCTCGTTCTTTTTAGCCGGGCGTTATTCAATTTTCCGCGCACAACCGAGAGGCGAAAGGAAGACGCCTTCTGAAGAGCTGCAGGAAGATTCTACTCTCATCCCCTAAGTTAGGCCGTACGAAAATTTTTTACTCCAAGTCTTGGGAACATCCCCTAACGCAGCTGCCAGAAAAATTCAATCCTTAGCTTAGTTGGGCTATAGAGAAATTCAAGTTTCGGCAGCGCGAGCATCCCCTAAGTTAAGCCTCAGGAAAGTTAAATCGTTAGCTGAACGAACAGCCCCTAAAATAGCCAACAAGAAAATTCGACTCACAGCTGTTCGAACGGTTAAGCGAAGACAACCTCCCATCCTCTAATGCAGTCTGCATAAAACTTTTAGACCCATCCATGCGAACATCCCCTAAGTTGCCCACAGGAAAATTCAAACCTCGAACATCCATAGAACATTGCCAGGACGAAACTTTATATTTATGTTCTTTGATTTTCAATTAAATTCGATCGAATCGACGGGACTGTTAACAATATGGCAAGCATTTGAATTAGCAAAGAAGTAGCAGATTTCATGCAACTTCCGTTTTCTGCGATTGACTTGGACGATTTCGATTTCGAGATCCTCGGTCTGCTTATCGGGAAATGCTGTTAGCTCCTTCTTTCAGCAATCTAAATTGCGTCCAGCTATTCAGCCCCGTTCGATACACCGATCGCGATCAATTCCAAGTTACGATAATCTCGTCGGGGTTAGGCGTTCCTGGGATCGAGGGCGCGACGATTATCTGCGGGTCGAGCTAAATAGAAAACGACGGGGGTAAATTTCACCGGAGGACCACGAGAAGAGCTCCCGTGAATCGAATCAGCGTCCCGCAACCCATTCACCGCGAATCCGCCGTGAATGCTGGCACGCGAAACTGCTCCGCTAAACGTTCTCTCGTAATCGAATACGAGCCCCCTGGAACGTCGCGTCGTTTCCTCGTCTGATCGAGATCCGCGGGATCCTGTTTTTTCGTCTTCATTTGATTCCGACAGGGGTGGAGCGCACTTTGCGCCGTTGCCAGCTGGATCCGCGTGGCTGATGCTCTACTCGAGGTCGAGATACGTCTTCTGGAATGGCGCCGGTATCTCAGAGAATGCTGAGCTACCCGGATATTCAGCGGCCGAGAGCCTTTCTATTTCGTGCCTAAAGACGACCGGGACAAACTCCAGCGAACTAGCGCGATTTCATGGTCGTTAGAGACGCCGCAGTTGGGAACTAACCGTTTACGAGCCTGTTGTCGCGATCTACAGGGTGTTTCAGCACAGCCGATGCAGCTTCACTCTCTAACGTCGCGTCTGTCTGACCGTTTCAGTTTAGTGTTGTAACTTCCTGTAAAACAATCTCACGATGTTCTTCTTGGGCTTATTTTAAAGGGTGAAATCTCTGATTTTATGGTCTTGAATTTAGCTTTCTCAAAGATCTTTTTTCGTTATAAACAAATGAGAGAAATTAAAAAATAAACATAAAAATTTGATAAATTCGAATGAGTCTATGTGGTTCATAATATTTTTGTTCTGCATTTGTTTCGACGTGATTTTATAAAAGGAAGTCTCGTCTTTACAGTGATACTTCAAATATTGATCCGCCATTTTATGGAGAAATTTGATAGTACTTCGATCAGAAAGTGTGCTGCAGACACTAGATTCAGAAGCTCAGAAATTGATTTTATAGATTCAGGCGACTCTGCCGAATCTGCAAAAAATTTTCTACAGATTCCTTTTAACGTGAACTTATAAAGAAAAGTTTCCCCTTTACAATGCCGTCTCAAGGATCGATCTGTGATTTTTCGTTGCGATTGTGTCGTACTTCAAATAAACAGAGTGAACTGTATCTAGGACTTCATTAATTCCATAGAGTACATCATTTCCCTAAAACATCATTGTACAGGCTAGTTTCATTCTAAACCTATGAAACAACTGTGAACAACTTCAATTCTTTAAAGAAAGTACAAATAAATTCTTATACATTTCCAATAGCCCTTATACAAACTGCCTGAACAATTTTCCAAAATTCCTCCTCTATTAAAAGTTACAGCAACTTAAAGTACCCGCGAGCATTAAAACTCAGGTGGCCCATTGGCGTAGACGCATCAAGCGAGACCCGGATAGTTTGAACCACCGTAACTTCCAACAGGTGCGAGATATCGAAAAACGCTTCGACCAAAAGTTACTTAGCTTGTCACGAACTTCGCGAATGTATAAAAATCTGGCCAAGTTTCATTTAAAATAAGAAAGTTACGCGGATCGAAAGTTCGTTTCCGAGGTCGAGGTTTCGCAGAAATTCATGCCGATGATAGGTCCTAGGCTTGTAACAGGTTACAAGCTAGCCGGCAACACCCTGTGTAATCCCTCCACTCGGCGCCGCTAATAAAGCCCAGGGGCGGCAGTAAAACACAGGGATCCCGGCGTTCGACGCAGATGGCGGTAGACGACGCGCGTCTCCGGTCACCCGGACGATGGAAGATAAAACCGGGCGCTCTATTTTACTGGCAAAACTTCGGGGCGCCTAGAGAGGACGGAACACGCGATTTTATGGGGTTATCTCCGTTCGGCGCTTGTTCGCGGTCGACATTGAATTTTCGTTCAAATCGAGTCCAAACAGCCCGCGGGCAATCACGATTTTACAGCACAAGATCGTCATTCTCGATTTTTCCCTTACAAGGGGAACATGTTCAAGTCAATTTTTATGGCGATTTAGGTGAGACCTAGTCTCTAAATCTCCGATACCTAGCCATTTTTATGTTTCACTGTTCAACGATGGGGTGGTAATGGTTCTTAAAGTTGCGACTAGAAATGGCCCTCGAAATTGATAGGTGAAAGTGGTCCACAAAATTGGGATGAGAAAGTGGTCAAAGTGGTCAAAGTTGTCGGTGAAAATGGTCTTCAAAAACTGGGAAATTAAATGGTCCTCAAAATTGGGGAGCAAAAGTGGTTCTCAAAATTGAAGCTGAAGATGATCTTCATAAACGATGACTGAGAACACGTTTGGAAAGCGAGATGCACATTTTGCAGGATGAAGGACAATAAAATATTGCTAAAATGTTGTGTATTTGTATGAACAATTTACTAGCAGGTTTTTAAAAGAGCTCGTAGCAACAGTTCTCACTAATTGTCAATCCTCTTGCAAACTTAACATTCAATCCATGAACCAGAACAGAGGCGCGCCTTCGGATGTCTCCGTCTTTCACCGTTCAACAATTCTCATCTTCCGGGAAGACCTCCTTCTGTTTCATTTCTAAAACCGACGCACCTTCACAAGGCAAAATGTCTTTTCCGCAGAACCTAAATCCTCCGTCGGAGACCTCATGCTTCACTGACAGCCCTCGTTGCCATTTCAGATAAACCTGGCAGGTCGGAATTTGCTCGCAGCCGGTCCCATGCGGAGCCGATCGACTTGTGGACTGGGGGCTAGTTCAGCCAGTTGGCCATCAGGGTGGCGTGGGGCTAACGACGGCCGAGACTCGAGAATTAGAGGAGGAAATCGGGAAATGACGTATCGTTTGAGAGCAGCCCCGCTCTCCATTATAGCGATCCAAGTAAAAGAATGGAGGGGTTGAAACGGGGGGGTTTGGAGGACCAGCAGCAGGAGGAGGATGGCGAGGAGGAGAAGGTCTGGGGGTGTAAAGAGGGAGAGGAACGCGGCTGGAAGAAGGATCGCGGGGGCGCGTGCACTGGTTTGTGGAGCGGGCCACGCGGGGGTTGCCGGGGACGAAGGGGGACGAAGGGGGTTGGACTCAGGAGGCTCGTGGGCGAGGCGGCGAGGGGCGGAGTGGCCGGAGGGTGCCGCATCTGCCTAGCTCGAACGCGGATACTCGGTGGAGGCTGGAGAGAATTGGGTCAGCCAACTTGGAGTGTACTTCAGGTGTAGCTACCTATCTACCTATCTGCCAACCTACTACCAAGCCCACCCTTTCTCGCGTCCTTACCAAAGAATCCGTTCCCTTTCTTTCCTCGTTAGCTGCTCGGCCATCCCTCCAGCCCTCCTGCCCCCGTAGCATCGCCGGACGAGGGGCACAGGGGGGCCGGAGCCGGAGGATCCATCGAACCGAAACTTTTTCACGGCTCGATTCGTGCTCTATCTTCGAACTTGCTGCGTCCCCCTGGCCGGAGGGCGGCGAAGGAGTCGTTGTGCCACGCGGGACCGAAATGGGGCGGCG